CTCAGTAATTCTAATAAGCTAATTTTTCAAAACCTTATCCATGTTTAAACGATTTAATTTACTTAGATTAGTATGCTTATAGTGCTTCATTTTGTTATTTAACATATGGTAGTAATGAAAACGATTAGATGTATAAAAAACTTAAAGATCTTTGCAGTATTTTAACTGAAGCAGTTTTAATGATTGATCAAGATTTTGATATTATGTTTGCATCAACAAATGATGTTCATTTTTTTACAGTTTGGCCAGGTTCTTATTTGGGTTATGATTATAATCCATAAAAAAGAATTTGGTACACTAATCATTTAGAATAAGTTTCTAAAAATAATATAAATTAAACATATTTTTGTGAACCTCATATTCATTGGACATGGAAATTATTAATGATTGCATAAACAAAAAGTTTACTGGATATTGATGGATCATTAGATGGAGTTATAGCATCTCATGTGAATTTCAGTTAATTTAAATATTAAGATGATGGACTAAGTTTTACAATTATAAATCCTGATGGTAGAATTCTTCTTAGTTAATTAAATATTTCAGAAACTTCTTATATATATGATTATAATTTAACTCATTTAGATTATTAAGATTATTAATAAATAATAAATTAAGCTAATAAAAGAGAAACATAAAGTGATTGTGATTCAAAGATTTGGAAAGATTTTGGTTATTTATGCAGGAAGATACACAATTCTACAGAAGAATAACTTATTAACACATAAATAATGGATAATGAAGGTTTGGTTTTAATTATGTAAATTATTTTTATAATATTATTAATTAGTTAATGTAAATTATCTTAATATTAGAAATTACTTGAATAAATGTTTGACAACTTTGAAAATGGCATATCATCTATTTTTTTAGGAACAATATTAGGTTCATTTGGATATATGTTTTCATCTGCACTTATTACAAGCATTATTATTATTATCTTATTTAATCCAATAATTAGAATAATTAATTAAACATCTTAATATGTATTTAAAGAGAGTGTTTATATGTAACATAAATTATAAAATTAACTGTAACTGTAATTCTTTAAAAGAACTAAATCAGATACATTAATTGAGAAATTATAGACTTCTTTTAATTAATTAATGCATAAATCACTTAATCCAAATAAATCACTTTTATGTTTATGGATTGAATAATTTAGATATCCTATTAAAAGATGGACATTAAAGAAAAGAGTAAAAAAAATAATAAAATATCATTCTTAATTGTAAAACAATCAATTAAATGAAGAAATAACAGATAAATAAATTACATTTGTGTAATAATTAATTAAAAGTTATCTATTTAATTAGAATACACAAATATGATTTTGATTATTTATTTAAAATTATACTCAATGCATATAACCATCATGATCAATATAATAATGTGAGAAGAAGGCTCCAATAAAAATGGCTCCAAAAATGAGACCACTTAGTTAATGATTTGGTAAGAAATGTCCTGTGTTAATGAATCCCAAGAACATAGCAAATAACATAGGGAAACTCCACCACCCAAATACAGGCCAAATTGCAATTATTAAACTAATAAACTATAAATTATATATATATACGTTATGAAACTCATAAATCCAGCAAAAGCACCTAATTATATAGCTTTTGGATTATATGTTTCAATATCCTCTGTTATACCTTTTATGTAAGGTAAATAAAATGCAGCATATAATGATAAACTAATGCTCATGCCAATAAATAATAATGCAAAAGTGAGAAATAATCTAATTTGATTTTTTTTGATTACTCATTGATATTTTCATTATGAAACAATTATTTAAAAAAGTTTGAATAATAAACTATAGCAATAGCTGCTGATATCCAAAGAACAGCTTATACTTTAATCCAAAGCCACTCTCCCCATTATTCCATTTTATCATAAATATCTAACTGTTTAATAACTTTAGGTTATTTAGTAGAATCATCATCTACACTTTACACGGGTACATACCTTCTCATTTTATTTTTAAATAAAATAATCAAGTTTTTGGTAATTTATATTGAATAATAACAATAAAGAAAAAAAGATAATGTAAAGAATAATATGATAATAAAAAATGTTAAAATGATAAAAATTAGAATAATAAAATATGCACAAAACATGATGATAAGATATATATAACACAAAAAATCAAAATATATGAAATAAGTTTATTAATATTTATTACTTTAAATCTAATTGGGATATAGTATTTATTTAATATATTTATAGTATCTTTTGAGATATGGAATCAAAATATATTATTATAAATTAATTATTACCATAAGATCAATTTAAGGTTCATAAATTACAAAATTTTATGAATATTGGTAAGAAATAATTTTATTAATATTGATTTGATTATTAACATTTTAAATTTGAATGAACTATAATAATTCAACTCATAGAAGAACTTAATCTAATAATGATATCCAACAAATTTTATGTGCTAGAATTGCTGGTTTAGTTGAAGATGAATATTAATAATAAAAACTTGATCCAAAAAGAATTAATCTAGGATCTACTCTATTTCAAATTCCTGAATAAAATGATCTTATATCTTCTGTTGAACAAACAACTGAATCATCTAAATAACATTCCTAAATGATTAAAGATTTGAATTTATCTAATCTAAAATCCAATCAATAATAAGACAAAGAAAATTTCAAAAATTTCTCATCTTGTTCTACTCTCATTAATCAAATCTAATAGATTGTCAAATCTGGATCTAATACTAAAGAATTTCAATCAAAAAAACCAATCACTTCAATTAATGAAGTCAATAAAAAACAATCTTCAACTCAAAGTTAGATGAGTTTTACATAAGAACTATTAAAAAAATAAGGATTAATACAATATTAATAAGGATAAACACTTAAATAAAATGTTACTCCTGATAGAAAAAGAGGTCCATCTTATAGTAATAAACCCACAAATTAAAAATAGCATAATGACTCTACACCAAATGAAATACTAGGTACAGATAATATTAAAAGTAATTTCTCCATTTCTACCTTCAATAATCTTATTAGATAAGATTCAAAAAATAAGAACTCTAATTTTAATGTTTGTGATTCTTATAGAAATTTAGAAGTCAAAATAAAAAAAATTGAATAGGAAATAAACACAATTAAATAAAGACAAGATCACTTAGATGAAACTAATAGAAATATTCAAGATCAATTAAAAGAATTTATATATGAGAATAAATAGTAATAAGAAGTATTATAATTTATATTTATAATTAGAATGGTTCTAAATAATTAAAGAAAATAGAACAATTAGAATAAATAACAAAAAGAAATGAAGAATCAATATCTTGCTTAAAAGATCTTTTGATTAATCATAATACAAATCAAAAAAGAATTGATTAAAATAATATTAATTTAGGGTAAAATAATATTGATTATATAGAAATAAATAATAATATGATATTACTGATTTATAAAAGAAATTTGTTGACTTTAAACCTTTAAATCATAAAGTATTTTGATAGATGCTAACAAATATAAAATTTTGAATATTTATATTTATAATCATAACACTCACTTTGGTTTAAAGTAACTTCCAAGTTCATTGTTAATGTATTCTGAATAAGCTCTTATTGTATTAATTAGATGAATATCCAATTAAGTTTGCTTCTTTACTTTTGTTTTTTTCAATTTATCTTCATTTTATTCACACCATGAAATCAATTTTTTAAAAATAGTAAAATTCTAATTAAAAATAAAATTTACATCATATAATGTTTATCCAAGAAGTTTGAATTTTTATGGTATCTCTTTTGGATATTTATGTTTCATAAGTGCTATTATTATTGATGTATTTCTTAATCTCTCTGAAATTATTGTCAAAGTATTATCAGTCTAACCCAATTAAACTATTTGTTTTGCCGATAATATTACATTAATCTACTATAATTTATACATTCCTCTAAGCTAATAAGTGAATATTATTTAGGGTTTATGTAATTTATTCTATTGTATTCTATTTTTGCATATTTGAATAAAATTCAATAGCCATTTCATCAGGATCATTATAATACTTCATTTTCTTATCATAAGACACCTATACTAATATCATTATCATTTACCTTAAATAAATAAAATTTAATGACAATTAATATCAAAAAGCAAGTTCCAACAACTGCATATTCCCACATAAATTTTAATTATTTTAGTTATAAATATATTGACTATAAATATTATTAATTGTTATATTAATTAATTTACTTTTTTTTAAAATAAATTTCATATCATAAATTATAATGAAAGATAAAGAATATCTATCTAATCACTTTAAATTATAATCTTTTAGAATGTAAAGAATAAAATTAAATCAAATATTTTATATTTATATACATTAATTATATAAATAATTCTCACTTTAATAAAGATTATAATTAAACTATATTTGTTATTTATAGTTTAAATTTAATAACAAGTACTTCTAAGAAATTCTTAGATTTGTTTATTTTTAGAATTTTTGGTATATATGAGAAGAAATTGAATTATATAAGATATATACAAAATCATTTATTCATTGCTAAATTCTTTTTTGATATTAAAATCAAATTTCTACTTTCTTATCATTTTATATATGGATATTTAAATGTAATCTGAATGAATTATAAGCATGATGAGTCTGTTGATTATGATGATGATGATTATTATTATTGTTATTATCATTATTAATATCCCATAATTTAACACTATGAGTATGAAAGAGAGATATTGGGCTTTGTACCTCTCTAAGTGAAAAAGGAGATGAAGGATCGCTATCACAATGCTTATGTTCTAAATTAAGAATTTTGTGCTTTTTTGATTCATAAAAATCCTGCTACTTTTGGGTAGGATCAGTAATTTGAAGTTATAGGTTATCAAGATATTCAAGTATTTGTTCTTCCTTTTAATTCATATAGATTCTTTATAAAAATTATATTATAATACACAATTTCTGCCTTTTAAATTATATAATTATAATGGAGTTAAAATTAAATCAAATCATTATTATAATTGTTATATCATATTTAAACAATGACTTTAACTTTATAGAAATTCTTCAAATAGCTAATCAGATGGTACATTTTATTCATCTTCATAATATTGAAGAGTTTTTTTTAAAATTGAAATTTATTCATTTGCATTGTCTAATTAATTTCTTAAAGTTTCATTTTGTTGATAAATCACTTTAAGTTTTTTAAATTCTTCAGTACTAAATAACTATTAATTAAATAATTCCTAAGTCAAATATATATCAAAGTACTTATTTAATTTATTCGAGAATTCCTTAAGATAATTGATTATTTGCTTAAAAACAACTATTTGATCTACTCTGCTTTGTAGATTTTAATTTTGTATTTTCTGATTATAAAGTTTCAATCAATTGAGTTAGTTTATTATTTTCTTCAAGTAATTACCTTAATTTAATTTCTAATTCTGGATTTTCATCAATTTTCCTTTAACTTAATTTTTATCCATTATTATTATCACTAACCTTCTTTTTATGAAGCTAAAATTCAAGTTCTTAAATTTTCATTTTACTTTTCAATAATTCAGATTCATGACTTACTTATTATTTTGAATTTTTTTCAAACTCAGCAAAGTTCTCATGCCATTGTTTTATTTCTATTTAATATTAATATATTGATTTACCTTCTTTTTAACTCTATATTGTTTTATCTGATATTTTGACTTTTTCTTTAAGCTTTTTAATTTCTTAATCTTATTATGTAATTAATTAATCCTTTTTATCTGTAGAATCCTAAATATTTTTAACTAATATATTCAATCTTTCATTTTCCTAAATTACTAACATGATTTAAGATTCCATCTACAACATAGAATCTTAAGGATCCTATGTACAAATCTTTTGATATTTCTATTTCCATTATTCAATTTCCAAAGCTTAATCATCAATAACTTTTTCCATACTCTCAATTTTAACCTTTATGAAATCTAATTATTGGCTTTCATGTGTAGATTTTTAATACTATTTTAATTCATTTTTTGTTTATTCTAATGCTTATGATAAGTACATATTATCATTTATTAACTATTGCATTCGTGTATTATCTTAAACTATAACAGATCTATTTTCTTAAAAGCATTTTCCTGCTTATTATTGTTTGCCATTTGGTGTAAAAGCATTAGATTATCTGACTTCTGCTTAATGATTATTAACTATCAATCTTAAAGCATTCTAAGAAACTATTTATCTTTAAGGTGTGCTTGGAGCATCTTAATGATGATTGCTCATTCTTATAGTACTATTAAATGGACTTAGTGATTACACTTGTCCATTTGAAAGCATTACCTATTTTGTTTTTTAAGTCGAGTTGGTTCTGATCATTCAAAATTAAATATAACGATAATTTTCAATATTTTAATATAAATGTAGCAACAATATACTAAAGATATTAGTTGAATTATATAAAAAATTAAAATACTATTACTAAATTATGAATCTTTTCTATAAGTATTCAAATAATTATGTGAGTCTCTCAAACAAATAAAAATATTAAAGAATATCAATAAAAAAATGTTGATTTTCAGATAATGATAAAACTCAACATAATGACTAATAGAACTCTTAAAAAAAAGATAAGTTATGAGGCTTTACCTCTTTTTAGATAAATTTCTACTATTTGTAATAATTATTATTTAAAAGAAACGCTCAAATAAATCTGAAAAAATAATGAATAATTAAATGTAAGTCTATTTCCTCACTCATCAATATTATTTATATCAATTTAAAAATACGATATAAAATATGCTTTGTAAGTATACTATATCAAATAAATAAAAATTATCATTAAATATTTCTTAACAAAATATAAATACTTATTAATTTCTACAATAATGAGTATTTTAATGGTGATTCATATAAGAATTATGAATAATTTGATATATTATTTATTATTAAAATACACAAGGGGTTACAATTAGTTTGAAGATTTGACCTGTTAGTTCTCAGTTGAATGTTGAATTAAATGATTATTTGATAGAATTATCCAAATAAATATTGCTATATGAGAGTATTTAAAATTCTACAAGTTATATAAAAACAATTTGTATAATATATTGATATTATTTATCTTTTTATGATTATCAAAAAATTAATTCATATTTTATAGATTTATAGCTAAATTGAATATAATATATTATTGAGATTTTTTATATAAAATGATCCCAATCCCTTTAAATTTTATTTAATTAGATTTACGAGGACAAATATTAGTATAAAGTCAAGTTTATATGTAGCTCGCTTTTTAATTAATATGTATGATATCAATATATCATAAAATAATTAAATATGGCAGAATGCATGAAAAAATATGGGAAATCTTTTCTTCCCTATAATTCTCTGGTTCGAAAATCTTAAAATTTAAAATCGGATGTTTCGTTTGATCCTGTTTAATCATGTGTTGTTGAGCCTAAAGTTCCAGACACACAAGGAGACGCAATCTAATTAATTACAAGTGATATACCTTCAATCTAAAAAATGATTCAATCCCAATAAAATTCAAAGGTCGTCTCGAAATTATCTTATGATGGAGGAATTGAGTTATTGAAGGATAAACAAAAATATTTAGAACTACTTATATCAAATTCTCTTGATAGCAAATTGCTTCAAAGACCATTCCTATTATTTCCAGCATAACAGTAATACTTAAATTAACTTGGTACATTAATAAGTTAATCACCTAATGCTTCATTTTGCCCATTCTTGAATATAAATTAAAATGAAAAGAAGCAGTTGCAATAAAATTTAGATCAATAACAAAATATATCAGATATATGTAATAATACATGTTAATCCAACTAATTCTGCAAATAATCAACTATTTTAAAACCAAAAGCAATAAAATAAAATATACATTTTAAAAAAGAAGAAATAAAATTTCTGAATTAGGAAGATTCTTGTTAAAGTGAAGTTATAAAATAGGAAGAAAGCAGTTGGAATGAACTTCCTTAACCACTTAAGATGAAAAAACCTAGTAAAAAATTACTATCAAATGATAGTTCTGAATCCTTCAAAGTAATAAGAAAGAAAAAAGAAAAGAAAATAAATGATACCAAAAACATAACAAAGAATTTTTCAAAAGCTATCATCTCATATATTATAAATAACCCAGATTTACTTAAATAATTCTTCTCATCTAAATAATATGAAGACTTTTTGGTTTTACTTAAAAATAAAAAAAATTTAATGACTAATATCAAATAGTTAAGAGATCTTTGGATAGATGGAGGCAAGTTTTCCGAATTTAATAAAGTTTTTAGAATTATAAGGTATTTATTACCCTTAATTATTTAAGCTAATACTTTTTAAAAAATCAATCAGTAGCTTATGTTTATAATTCTAGAATATCAAATACTATATGGCATCTTAAGTATAGATAAAATTTGTTGAGAGCATTAAAAGAGCCTGAAAATTTTAGATTCATTAAAGATTTATGATTAAATTGTTTGTTGTCAAATCAAAATATAGCGAATTTTATACAGATAAGATATTCATTATTTTTTTTGATTTCTTAAACTATTTAATTGATTAACAATCAATAATGAGATAAATGATTAAGGACCTGATCTAAAAAATAAACCTCCTAATCCTTTGTACAATCCCAAGAAACCTTCTGATTTAAAGATTATTTTAATAGCATGGAAGCAACCTTAATAAACTGTTGGATTTCCATGCTATTAAAATTTATATTAAATAATTACATTATCAAATTGTTAATTAAAATATCTAGTTAAAGCTACTTCAACAGGACATGTTAATAAACATAACCATAATGTTGCATTAGCACTAGCAATCATATTTAATTCTGTTTAATTTTTAATCCATTGTTTTCCATGTTCTTTTGTATAATCAAAAACAGGTAATTGAATTGCCGACCCTAATCCTGTTCTTAGTGCCATAATTGATGATCCAGCATAAAGACCTTTTAATCTATTATACTATATAGTATTTAATATACCCTTCTGTTTTAAATATTTATGAAATGGCATCAATAAGACCTGAATAATGATATCTATTTCCACATGGTAAATCTTTTGTTTAAAGCATTAATCTAGTTTTAATCATATTAAATGGACTTGAAATAAAACTTAATTTAAATATTAGATCAATTACGCACTAAAACAACCAACACCTGCTGAAATTCCAATATTTGATAAAACCTTTATATATCCATGTGAATTATATAAATGAAATTACTCATTTGCAATGTCCTTTACAATCTCATAAGTTCCAAATCGTAATCCATTCATTATAATTTAAAATACTATAGCAGCTTAAAGTCCTTTTTAGACTGCTAAGATTCCTTCAGATTATGATGTTTTAATTAATGTATTTATCACTCCAGAATATGCTCTTTTATAATGACCTTCAGCAACAAGCTCTCCTTATGCTTACAATCTTGTTTTTGCTAAATCAAATGGGTTTGTAATAAGAACTGTAGTAGCTCCAGCAATTGAACCATTCAATAGTGCATCCATTATTAAATTTAATAAAATTCGTTAATGAAAAGTGATAAAGAAATATTAAATATACTTAGACGATATAAAGAAGCAAAAATAGAATTAAAAAAATATTTAAGTTGGATTGAACAAATAAAAGTAAATGATTAAATTTTAGATTTAAGTTAGAAATGGTTTTGTCAGGGTAATCAGAAAAATAAACTAATTATTATAGAATGCAGATTTAAGGTATGGATAATAAGTTTAAACATGGTAATTATCCAACTAGTGAATCTTTGACAGAAGAAGTTTAAATTAAATGTAATTAAATGACTTTTTAATCATAACAATAAGAATTAAATTAAGATAATGTAAGAGAGTTTATTAATAAATATGAAAAAATGTTAATCCAAAAAGAACAATAATAGTAGGTAGAATAAAATTCAGGTTAAACTTTATTAATCAACAGAGATTCTAAATAACATTTTGGAACAAGTACTATAGAAGATATGTTTAAATTATCATAATCTTAATAAGAATCACAATAATTAAATCAATTTAGTTATGACACTTCTAATTTTGGAAATGATTAAATTGGATTTAAAAGAAAAGGAGACAACTTCTTTAATAATTTATAAAATTATTCAAAGGATTATGAATAAGAATAAAGTTTATAATCATCAAAATGTTTCAAAGATTATATGTTAACATAAGAAAAAGTAGATATAAATTAAAATAAACAACAATAAAAAAAGTCTTTTGAATAATTTTATCAAGAACATGTAGAAGGAGAAATAAATAATATTTAAATGGAAATAGAAGATATGTAGAAGTAATATTAAATAATTTTATATAGATTTTTACAAAGAGTTTAAACTGCTAAAGATAAATTAACAAATAGTTTTAAAGATCTTTAATAAATTCCTGTTATTAATAGAGAGAATAGTGAGAATTCTATTTAAAAAGTAACAGAAGATCTTAAATTAATTGACATTATAAAACAAAATATGATAAAATAAATGGAAAATAATATAGATTAAGATAAACTTAAAAAACTTAGAAATATGAAGCATTAAATTTAATTATACTTTAATAATGTAGAAGATGAATTACTAAAAATAAATGAAGAAACATCAGTAATTTAATGATTAATTTTTTCTTTATTTTTAAACTCACTATTTAAATTATGTTTATAAGTAAAAAATTAAATAATAGAAGATTTTTTTTAAATATCCATAAATGAATGCATGCAATAATTATAATTCTTAAAATATGCATTATATAAATTTAATTTCAATTTATTATTGATGGTCTTTTTGATTTTTATGCTGATGCAGATAATTTTCGATCAGACATAATTTTAGAATATTAAGGTTAAATTTCAGATTTAACTTAAATTCTTGAATTACCAGCAATTTTTGATTATTTTATATCTGATTTATTCTCTTAATATTTGCTTTCAATAACATAACGAGTGAATTAAGACTTCTACATCTATTCAATTTCACCCTCTTCTTGTATTAATGTATCGTTTTCAATATTGTTTTCATAACGTAATTAAGATTAAAAAATAAAAGGAATCTAAAATTTAAAAAGTTGACTTTCTCCAAAATGACTAAATTTCATATGTCTTAATTATTCACAACTTACTATTCCATGAATACACAACATTTAAGATAATACTTTCAAGAATTCATTTAAATTCAAATGTTCACAGCATTACGTCATCAATGAAATTATATGACTACCTTCCCTATGAGAAAATTTTTATGTTTTGACTAAAAAAATAACAAAATTTAAATAAAATAGTTTATTTTCTATTTAAATATAATTATAATTTACTTTAATCTCTAACTTTTTCAGCTGATCTATAACTTATTGACATTACTATATATGAAATGATTAAACCAATTACTTTTATATAAGTGATACTTTCAATCCATATCATTGTTAAATAAATGATACTAAGTTCTAAAAATATACCACTAAAAAAGTATGTTTAAACTTCCCATAAAATTATTAATTTATAAGCACTAATTAATTTAATACATATAATTTACACAATTTTTCCCAATTATAAAATTCCCAAAAATACAGCAATCCATACATAATATTCTATTTTACTCAATGTTAATCCAATATCATATCCGTAAGCAAAATAATCAGAAAACTATTCCTCATTAAAAAATGCTGCTATTAGACAAAACATTCCTTAAAAAAATTGCATAGTCAATGTTATAAATGGTGTTTCTTCATCCCAAATATATTCATGAATACCATAGTCTTAATAAATGACTTCAAATGAAAGATTTTAATATTTATCAATACCAAATAACTCTTTAAATTACTAATGTTATAATTATATAGTGAATATCCTTTACTTAATCATTTTTCTTAATAATGTATCTTTTTCTGCATATGCATCTATATCATCAACAGCTTCTTTATTATAATTAAATATATGAAACTATTCCATGTATTAATAACTATATGATAAATGATTATCGAAATAACTATTTAAGAGTTCTAAAATAGCATCACTTTTTAATTAATGTATTGGTATTGAATTTTATTCACAATGTACTATTAATTATGCTTCCAAATATCTACTAAATAGTGCATTTACAGCTGCTAAACTATTTTGAATTTTTTCAGGTTCATCATTTATATAATTTGCCCATGATATTTTATCTATCAAACCTTTATTTTGAAATAACTATTAAAATTGTATGTGTTTGAATATATAAATTCCAAGAGTTCTACTAGCTGCTGCAGCTATAACCATTACTAATGGTCTCCATTCAAATAATTCATTTATTCCTAGAAATCTTTTATCAAATGAAGCTCCATGTATAAAATATATCCAATCCTCTAATAAATAACCTAAACCCATTAGTAAATATGATGCCAAAACTGTGATTGGTGTCACATTATTGATCCAACTTCTAAAGAAAGATTAAAAAATAGTAAATAGAGCTACAAAGTGAACAATACTATAATATTTCAACTAGTTATTAGGCAATAGAACTTACAGAATGAACTGCCATTGCTATTGAAACAAATTCCATCAGACTACAAAAGAAAACTAAAGAAAATGAAAATCTGAATGGTCTTCCTAATTAATGTGGAGTATTTAGACGAGGATGCTTCAAACGATAAATTTTACTTAGAATTATTTAACAATTTACTTAAAAAATACTATTAAAAATAGTAGGATGCTAGCTAATCGAATTAAAAATTATGATAAATAAAGTGCTTTGCTATTAACCAAAATAAGATATCTCAATAGTGATATGGCAATAATCTATTATGATCCAGCCCATCCAATTGCCATCATAATATTATCAAGCATTAGACTTTTTATTTTTTTAACAATATAATTTAATTCATATATATTATTATTTAAATTATGTAAAAATAAACAACTTTAACAGATTTTACTATTTTATAAAAATTAGGTGAAGGCTCTTTTGGATAGGTGTATAAAGTATTTATGATATTTATATATTTTGGTTAAACGAAACAATGATAATTAAGAATATGCCATGAAAAAAGTTCGAATGGGTAATCTAAAATTAAGAGAGAGGGAAAATGCATTAAATGAAATAAGAATCCTTGCTTCAATTTAAGATTAGAACATTATAGGATACAAAGAGGCCTTTTTTGATGAATAATCAAATTGTTTATGTGTCATAATGGAATATGCATCTGGAGGAGACATCGCTAAATAAATATAAAATTCAATTCGCAAACATACTCTAATAGAAGAAAAAGAAATTTGGAGGGCCTTAATACATATGACTAGAGGACTGAAAGTACTTCATAAAGCTGGAATATTGCATAGAGATTTAAAAAGTGCCAATGTTTTTAAATCATCAAATAGTACATATAAATTAGGAGACATGAATGTAAGCAAAGTATCACATGGAGCTATGGCAAAAACATAAACAGGAACTCCATGTAATCAAATTTAATTATTCAAGATTATGCTAGTCCTGAAGTATGGAGAGATTAACCCTATTCAAATCCTTCAGATATATGGTCTCTTGGATGTGTAATATATGAAATGGCAACTCTTAAACCACCTTTCAGAGCAACAGATCTAAAAGGTTTATTTAGAAAAATATCAACTGGTATTTATGAAAAAATACCTAAATAATATTCATAAGAATTAAATTTCATGATTGCTTCACTTTTAAAAGTACCACCATAATTAAGACCAACTTGTGAATAAATATTGAATGATTCTACTGTTAAAAAATATATTGATGAATTTGAACCATAATCTCCATAATAATAAAAATTAGCTAAAGCACAATTATTATAAACAATTTTATTGCCCAAAAATTTAAAATAGTTATAACAAAAATTACCTAAACCCATGTATGAAATTGATTAACCTATCTAATAAATACCTAATTAACCAAAATCTACTAGATCAGTTTCTGTAAATGAATAAAAATATACTGAAAGACCAAAGAGTTAAACTCCATAATGTTAAAAAAAATAACCTAATGTTATATCTAATTAACACATACCAAAACCTGTAATTATTCAATTCTAAACTATTAGAAAATACCATTAGCCCCTGTTAAACAATAGTAAGCTGCCCATATTTTGAAAGATCCTCAATCACATAGACCTAAAGAAAGGCCAGTTTCAGCTATGAGAGCTTAAAGTCCTTGCTCAGTTCGAAAAAGTGTTGATCAAAAATAGAACCGAAATCCAAGTCCTTTAGTTAGAAAGTCAAACCCTTATATTAAAAATAATGATGAGAACATTAATGCCAATATTATAAAGAAAAGAAATAACATTCCATTAAAAAGATGATAATCTATTATTGTATTTTTAATATAATAAATATAATTTCACAATATTTTATAAGATATTTACTTTTTTTCATTAAAAAATTAGAAAATACAATTATTTTTAGAAAAAGATCTATTACATTAAGGATATTATAAAATTAAAAAATTAATCTAAAATATATGTAGATTTAGAGATGGATAAAAGTATCAATTTTATTTATTTAATATTATATGATATTTATATTAATTTGATATATCTATTCAATTATAAAAATATCACTTTAACAATTTTATTTAAATAGACATAATTAGATATTACAATTTGCTTAATGATACTTTATAATAAGGATTTATATATTTATCACAAAAATGGAAGTTATTTTTATGATTTTTCGAAATAATAAACAAAAATATTAATAAATAAACATATAATTTATAACTTAATGAAAGTTAGTTTCTAACCATCCATTTAAGAAACTCTAAGTTAATTAATTTGTTTTCTTATTCTTCAATTACTTCTTTATTCCTAGGTTGTTTGTAAGAGATACTCTTATAATTTCTTGAAGAGACATTATAGAAATTTGGTTTTAAAAGTTATTAACATTGTAATTTAGAAAATATAAAAACAATTTATAAAATGTTAATCATTCTATTGGAATACAAGAGAGGATTATTAGGAAAATTTGGTTATACTAATCCTATAATATTGTTCTAATTAAATTAAAATATTATATAATAACAATTCAGATTTAATATTTAAAGAATATATTATCTTTTACTCTAAATTTAATATCAACTTGTCAATTTTAAATATAATTATTTATCAATAATCAAAAAAATGAAAAAAGAATTTGAAAAATAAAAGAAGAAATATATTGGTCTGACAGAAATCTTTAACAAAATGATATAGATTACATTGCAATCTTAAAAAAGCATAACATTGAACTCAACAGTATAATTGATACTTCTCTTTATATGTAAATTTTAGTTGACATTCTTTTTGTTTTATGTTAATTATGAATGGTAAGATGCAAAAAATTTATATATGTTTAACAAAGTTTTACTTTTAATATTTCGAATTGATATATTCTTGTAAACATTTGAAGTTATCAACAGGTTTGTTATATATTTGATACTAAGTATTCTAATAATTGAAAAGCTTTTTTGTGGTTTTTTATTATGGGATGGGATTAATAAAACGAAATATATATATTTAAATAAAATACTTGGGATTTATATTTAATTATATTATGGATAGTTTCATATTTTATTTACAACATTAACTTGTTTATTCTTAACTCATTAATATAATTAATTGTAAGTAAATAACATTAATTATATACATTTATTATTTGGAATTTTATGTTTTTTATTATTGTAATTAGAAGCAATTTATCATTTATTAATAAGTGAATAATCAATAGATGGAAAAATTATATGTTTTGATAGATTAAGAATCACAGTTAAAGAATACATTATTTAATTTTTAAATTTGATTATCATCATTCTATTTTCAGTAGTAAAAAATTCTGAGATTGTTTTATGGATAATTCATTTATTAGTATTATTAAGTACATCAATAAATATAATTAATATATAAGAAAATCAAACAATTATAGAAAACAATAAAAAGTTTATTATTTACTTTTCTGATTCATTTACTATTGTTTATATCTTTTATTCATTAATCTAATAAATTGTTTAAAGATAAGATTTTTAAGTATTAATTTATACATTCTTTTCATTTCCATTATTACTAAAAATAATATTAAAATTTGATAATTTGATCAATACAAAATTAGATCATTTAGCATTTTCTAAATCAAAAGTAGACATCTTTGCAATAACTCAATTTTTAATAAAAAAGTAAAATAATTAGTTCTAACCTGTATTATTTAAATTATATATCCATAATTATCATTTAAAAAAATGTAAAAATGTAAAATGTATTTGTAATCAATAAATAATGTACTTAGATCCTAGAGATGCAGCTACACTTACATAAGATATTGATAAAGATTTTGTTCATTAAAAATTAAAACAAATTAGAAAATATCTTTTTACTTAAAACATTGCTAACATAGATGAAATATAACATTATACAATTATGTATGGTATATTATTAGCAAATAATGGATGGCCTATTTAATCAATAAAACATTTTAATTAGTTAGTGTATGGTAAATCTAGTTCTAAAAGTTCAGTCATAAGTGTTAACTAAAGTCTGTAAAATCCTCATTCTTTTTCAGCAACTATAAGAAAAGATTCTTCATCTTAAACATAAACAGATCCTGAAAAATAGCTTGATAATATTAAAAAAAGCAATAAAGCCAAATCTTATTAATATTCTATTCCTTATTAAGTCAATTTTGATTAAATATAATTGTCAAAAATATTTTATATTTAAAATGAAATCAAAGAAAACTTAAGATATTTGTTTGGCAATTCTACTTTAACTGCAGAAATGCATAATTTATCTGAATAAATACAAATTTTTATGTAATAAGAAATGATGTTAGATAAGTATGTCAATGAAATTAAGAAAATATTAAAAATGAAACTAAAATATTTTGAAAATTTAATGATTTTAATAAAGGAAAAGAGAATGTCAGATCTTATGAAATAATTAATGAATATTACTAATAAAATGATTTTATTTAAAAATTCATTATAATCATAATATGAAATCATTTAAAGTAAAAGATTATAATCATTATAAATATTTTATGAAGCTGAAGTATTTAAAAATTATTTAGATGCATTTAAAATGCATAATTAATCAACTCTATCATAAGAATAAATATAAATAATTAATAAAAATCTCAATATTAATTTTAATTCAAATGATATGAGCTATATTATTTTATAAATAGATGATGATCTTTAAAATGCAGAAATACTAAAATATTCATCAAATATATTATAAATAATTGATTATAATTCTAATGAAGAATTAACTTTTGAATAATTATTATTACCATTTATTTTAAGAGAGCATCCTTTACTAATTTCTAGATTTTTTAAAATTGGATAATCAAAATATTATAAATAATTTAATTAAACATTTATAAGAACATAAAATAATATAGCAAAATCTATTGCATTTACTTTCGATAATATTGTTTAACATAAGCAGGATAAAATTATCTTAGTTGGATTGTTGCAAGAAATAATAATTCAATAACCTTTTATTATGATTGATGTAAATTAAGTAGTAGGTGGTATTACTAATGCTTTTTTCTCATTATTAGGATACAATTAATAATTTATTGATACCATTTGTGATTTTTCAATATTTTATCAACTAAAGATTTCATAAATATTTCCTAGTTTTAATGATATAACTTAAAATGAAGATTAATAATAACCAATTATGAAATTTAATAATGTTGATACTTATTTTATAGATTTAGAAATATTAATTAATGAATTTACTATTGAAAACAGCAATACTTTAAAATAATAGTCTGTAATTTTAAATAAATTATGGGGTAGATAAAATTGTACTAAGTTCTATTTAACAAACATTACAATATAATCATATCATCTTTATGGATTTTATTATTACATAATACATTTAGATTCATCATTTTAAAAAACAGAAGGTGTAAATAGCAGTAAAACTTAAGATAGATATAGTGAAGATAGGAAAAAATCAGAGCTATCATAAAATTTTTAAATAAGTCATTTAGATATGTCTTTAGAAGAAGCATAACCAGGAACAATCAATTAGATCTCAATTTAAAGTAGAGAAGGTTATTCAGAAAAAAGTTAAACTAAAAATAAAAATATAAATTTATTTTAAGTTTAAGAAGTTTTATAAGAAGATGTAGAATAGAAAGTAGATTAATATTTATAAGTCCTCTCACCTAATAAAAGCACAAGTTAATTAATTGATAATTAAAGAGATAAATTTATTTAATAAACTATACAGTAAGACTATTATACTGTGAATACAAGTTAAAAATTAAATAAATTGAATCGAAGCAATGATCATAAGGAATAAAATATTAAAGGAGATTAAATAATTGGTCAACTCTTTAGAGATTCTTTGAAAAATACTGAATACGGTGTAGGTAACAGTGAAGTAATAAAGAAATATGAATTATTAAGTAGATTAACAAAAGAAAAAACACCTTAAATACTAAAATTAGCAATTAGTACAATAGTGATTTTCATCTTGATATAAACTATATCTCTATCATTAGTTGTCTCTATTCTTAATAATGATATTCTATAATTTATATCAGATGTTGAGATTATAGCTTTACATGCAAGCATTTAAGGACCACATGACTTATTTTTTTCAATGCGAAATACTATCTCTGCATATCAATAAATGGGAAGAGAAGGCTATATACCAAATTCCATAGTACCAAATTTAACTGCACCTTATGAAAAAAATTTAGGATTAGGTTATTTTGAATTGAGAGATAGTTTTTATAAATAACTTGATAATGAATATTTAAGAGGTTTTCTTGATGGAGAAAGTATGGAATTATTTTTTATGAAAAATAATGATACATAAAATTATGCTATAGAAATAAAGACTTTTAGAGAATGTTTGTTTATTATTTTATAATATCAATATGCATAAATGAGAGTATTGTAAAATAAATTGAGTGCTTCTGGATAACCATTTTAAGTATTTTTATTTTCTAATTATTACAATATTCAAGATAAACTTGAAAATATAACAAATGATATATTGTAGTATTCAAAGACAAGAAGTGTAGAAGTTGGTGAGAAATGGAGTTCAATTAGTATTTGTTTTTCAATTTTAATTTTAGTAATAGCATTTACTATTGTATTTTAGCTTCATTAATATTATAAATTATATGATAGATTTTTATAGTTATTAAATTTTATGGATAAACAAAAAGTTTAATTTGAAATTGAAAAATTAAATTAATTGTTAAAAGTAATAATATCTAATTAAGAATGTGTTTATTCTTATTAATTTGATCTTTAACATTAAGAATCATTAATGTAAAATTATGTTTCTTTAAATAAAATATCAAATACTAAGAAAAATTTAGAAAATAATTCATTAATCTAAATTCCAAGAAGATATTTTTTTATAATTTGGACTATTATTGCTTGTGTTTTTTAAGTTTATATAATTGTGACACAAATTAAAACAAATGAATATATTAGTAAATATGATGATACTGCAGATTTCTATTTTATGATATAAAATTTAAAATTTAGAAGTGGTTCTATGTATATGTATAGAGAACATCTTTTTAGATTTAAAAATTTTACTTATTTAACAACTTATGATTTATAGAGAGCATATTAATTAATAGATAAAGCATAAAATAATATATAACAATATTTAGATTTTACAAATTCATTTTAAGAAAACAAATATTTATTATCTGATGAATTTATTTCATTCTTTTAGTATTAATAAAATAATAATTTATGTGAATTTATAGACTAAGTAAATTAATTAATAATTATTTATAGATTTATTTAAATTTTATGTCTTTGTATTGTGAAAAATCATTTGATGGTTTATTGAAATAAGGTTCAATATCTGTTCTTAATTTTATGTCAAATTAAATAAAAAATTAATAGGCTATTAATAATTTTACAAAAAGAGTTGATGTAGATCTTTATGAATTAGAAGGATCTTAAATAGTAATGAGATCTTTTTTTAGAATTTCAGATGAATTTTAAATTGGATTAAAATAAATAACAACTGCATAAAATTAATTCACACTCATCATTACTATAATATTCATTACATATTTAACAATTTTCTTATATGTCATATTATTTATAGTTAAAAAACTATTAATAAAGGAATATGCATTGTTAAGAAGAATAGTTTATTTGATTCCATAATAGATTGTATTAGGAGATGAATCATTTGAAAGATTTCTTAAATAATTAGCATTAACTTAAGAATTAAAATGATTAATATTTATAAATTTTGTTATATTATACAAATATAAAATATTACGTATTTTCAATAATTAAGATATCAACATTAATCATTTACAATAAATGAAAGTTGACAAAGATGATCGAATTCAAAATTTCTAAGACTCTGATGCAAATATTGAGACTAATTAATCAACTTTATGTGAAGATCATTTGGATGAGAATATGAAAAATTAATAATTGAGTGCTGCTTTGATTTTATCATAAAACAATTAGCATGAAAGTATTTAATATAATGAATTAGGAATGATAAAAAAATAGAGTGAAAATTCATATCTCATAAATAATAGAACCTTTTAAGAATAAAGGTAATTCATTTTGAGAACTTTATGTTTGATTTAATTTCATTTATTGGGACCATTAATACTTTGTGTATTTTGCATGTTTAAGACATTTATTGTAGAATTACTATATGATAAAGAGGAATAGAAATTTTCTTTTTTATTTTATATTAGTGTAGCTTTAGAAATATTCATTTTATTTTCAGTTACTCTATCAAGGAAAAATGCTAGAAAAACTCCTTATGCTTAGAGTGCATATGTCTTTTTTGGTATTTTCTTATCATTTATTTTGGCTGGATTATATTCTTCCACGTATTATTCTGAGAATTAAAATGTAGGATTTATAATTCTTGCTTTAATAAATATTTTTTAAGGATCAAATGCTGGAGCATTATTTTATTTTGCTACTTTAAAATAAAAAAAATCAACATTATGTACAACTTTATTTAAATATAGATTCATTACCATTTATTTGCATTTTTCCATTACTTCTAAGTTTAATTTATATGTTTTTTATGTAAAATGAAATACTAAAAATTGCTTGTTGGATGATTGCTATAATTTCAATAGTTTTAGCTATTTTATCAGTGAATGCTTTGTATTAAATAATAGATGGAGCTGTATATGAAATTTTAATTATAATTTAGTTTAAATTAGAGAAAGAACAACATTGCATAGCTACAATATTCATATATATAAAAATGATAGTTTTTTGCAAAGAATTTTGATTGAATTATTTATTTATAATTTTTATTATAATATGGATAGTATTAGAGAACGACTTTTACAATTAGATTAATAAGCACAATAATTCTAACAATAAAATAAATATTTAGAGGCATTGAATGTTTTTGAGGAAATGCTTATGATAAAAAAGTCAGCATATGGTGAGGATTCTGAAGAATATTTCAAAACTAGTGATAAATTGTGTGAATTATGTAACTTAATAGCTATGATTTTCTTATAAAAAGAAAAATTTGATGCATCATTAGAATTCTTGAAGAAAGCAGACATGTTAGCACAATCAAGTACTCGATATAAGTATTAATGTCTTTATATTTATTCTTTTTTTATTAGAGCCATTACCTACAATAATTTAGCTTGTTTCTACAGGAGAAATGGGAAATTAAGAAGTGCTTTATAATATTTACAATAAGCATTAGAAATAGAAATTAGATAAGAAGCAGCACCATCTTTGGCTGATACCCATTTAAATATGTGTGCTGTGTTATCTTAATTAAATAGAGTAAGGAATGTTATATAATAGCACGCTGAAGCATTGGAACATGCATTAATATCAGTAGTATTATTATAAGATGAATTTTTAATGAAACCACCAGATTAGAAAATGGAATAAAGTTAGAATTAAGATTAAAAATCAGGAGAACAAAAGATGAAGGATAGAGTGGCTGTCTTAGCTATTGCTTATCATAACTTAGGAGTAGAATTTGAATATTTAAAGAGATTTGATGAAGCAATTTAAACATATTAAAAAGCTGTTAGATTTGGTGAACTTCATCTACCACCAGATCATTAATTAGTAAAAATATAGAATTAGACAATTTTTAGATAGGAAATTTAAAGAATGTTTTAGGAAATGCATAAGAATAAATTAATTAATAAAGAGCAAAGGATAATAATAAGAGATAATAGAAAGAATTACAAAGTAGAAATCAAAATAAAAGAAAACTAGTAGAAGTTGAAACTACTTATAAATAGAATAATAAAAAGAAAACAGATAAAATTGTTTAACATTAATAACAATAATAAGTTATGGGATAAACAATGCGTTCCAATCCATAAAATAATAGTGTTAATATTAGAGAGGATGATTAAGAATAATAAGGTAATGTTTAATAAGAATCCAGTTATAATGATCATGATGAATTACAATAAGAAGCTTAAACTTAATTATAATAGCATCAATAATAATGAAATAACATTCATATAAATATATATATATATATAATTATTTATTTTATTTGTATATGAAGTAAAAATAATAATCTGATTAAAAAAACACTAAAATGAAGACAGACATAAATGATATCAGATTCTTAATGTAATAAAATAATGAATTGATGTAATAAATCTCACATCGTCTAAATAATAGAAATTAAGTATTTTAATTAGAATAGTAATTAAAGACAGAAAGAAAATAATTCATAAATACTACTAGAAAAGTGGGACTTTTAAGTAATTAACTAGAAAAAATCTAATAAATTGTGTTATCTCAAAAAGAAAAGATAAAATCACAATAATAATTAAGCAAATCCTAACTAAAATAAACTTAATAAATCCCTTAAAATTAAACTGTAGAAAAAGTTAGATCGAAGTCTTCAAATATTAGAAATGTTGATGTTGGATTTATAAAATCTAAAATTAAATAAGCATTGTAAGAAGTGATGTGTGAATATTTAGACTGATTTTAACTTTAATTCTCCTCTTATTAATATTAAATTAAAATAATACATAAATAATTTTTAAGTCCATTTTTTCATTATTATTTTATTGAAACTTTTATAGTTTCATTTAAATCACACTAAATTATTTTAATACTTGAATTCTCCACAATCACTCTAATAAATATAAATAATTAATTTAGAAATCTTAATATTAAATAAAAGTATTCAATTTAATTTAAGTTTTATTAAAATTAGATCTAATCTTTAGAATTTCCAATAAAATTATTATAAAAATAAAGAATTGAGACTTTTACATAGATTATTGTCTAATCTTATTATATAGTATTTATTAATAAAATAAGACACATTTTCCATAATTTAACAGATCTTTTCAAACAAAAATATCTTATTATTAACTTCAGGAATAAATTTAATAATTTATTATATAATCATTATCTAAGTTATTTAATAAACAGAAAAAGTAAAGATATATTAAATTAATGAATTTGATTGTGATACTCAATAACCTAAAACTATAGTAAAATTTATTTCACTTTTCTAGCTTATTAATATGAGTATATTTTTTGATTTTAAACAAGACTACACAACAACCAGAATAATATTAGTGTTTAATAGAAGATCTAAAGAATGAGATTTATAATTATTTTCTTATCTTTTAGTTTTGAATTTAGTATTAATTCAATAAATAAATTATAGTTTAAACTATATTTCAGAGTTTCTAGAAAATTATTTAAATTTTAATACATAATTATGTTATTCATCAAAGGGAATTGCAAGTATATCATTAATAGGGAGTCATAAAATCTATGTGATTCATAGGAATAGCATAAGTTGTTATATTTTATGTTTCTGTTGTTGAAAATTAAAAATTAGGATAATTACCATTAAGTCTAATTTGTGAATAATGAAATTTAAGCAAAAGTAATCCATTAATGATTTAACGAAGATATTTAAATATATTTGATAGAAATTGATGGAAGTTAGATCATAATTTCTATAATAAAAATAGATGTGTAACGATTTCAAAAACGGAATTTGAAAACTACATAGGAATTAATCTATTATTTAAATATAAATGTAGGTTTTATCCATATATTTGATTGGTTTGAATATTTTGATTATTATCTATTTCTTTTGTACTTTACCAGTGATAATGATTAAGGTATTGATATAAGTAAGAATATATTTGTATTTATCACTTTAAGAACTATTTAATTAATGATTGATAATTATGAATATCATATTTGAATGATTATTTCATATGAGAAATACTGATATTTTAAAGATTTTTTAATGAAATTCATTATATTATTTTATTTATTTTAAAAGTTATTAAGATGGGTTCATTTAAAAATACAGTATTGATACTTATTTTACTCGTAACATACGGACAGGGATACGCTATAAGAAGTATAACAGCATATTAGAATTGTGATGTTAAATGGGGTAGAGAATAGTTAAACAATAATTCCTCTAAGTCGATCTGTTAATATGGTAGTTTATTAAGTTGTGTTGCTATGATATTATAAACAAGTAGTAAGCCAATAAATAGCAGACCTGTTAACCCAGCAGTATTAAATAAATACTTGATGAATAATAATGGGTTTAAATAAGGAGATGAAGTTAATTTTTCTGCTTTGGAATAAGTAGGTTTACATTTTGTGAAAACTGTTTCAGATTTAAAGACAGCTTAAGGTATTATTGAAGTTAATAATAGAATATTTCAATTCTAATCACTATATTGTATTGAATATAAATTATGGAAAAAATTATGGTGTTTTAATTGGATTTGATGATTCAGATAAATCAAATGTTATTTATTACATTAACAATCCAATTATTCCTTCAGAAACTAAAGTTGCAGCAAAAGATATTAGTGTGGCCATAATATTTAAAGCCCTTTGAAAATATAGGATATATAAGAACAAATATTAAACATAATTTTTGAACATAATATCATTTAATACTCAATAATCATCTGGTGCAATAACATCATCTATTTTCAATATCATTTTGACAACTTGGGTAGCTAATTAGATTTATTGTTTCTTTGAACTCAATGTTTCATAAATTCTTTATTCTTTCATATCAGTTGTACCCTAATAAATATTATATATAGATAATTACTAATTCCATACAATCAATTCCAATTCTTGGATTATTTTCTTTTAATTGTCTTGATTTAGCTTGAGCAACAGATGTAATAGGATTAAGACCACAATTATCTGCTAAACAACAAGGAATACCCTCTAAGGCATCTGCAAATGATCTGATGGCATATTATTCAACAGATGAAACCTAAAATTTATTAATCAATTACCTCATCAGCATATTATAGAACTTAGATAGCACAAGCTAATTCAGCAGAACCTCCACCATATACAATTCTATTATCTTTGATTAAGTTTCTAATAACACAAATTGCATCATGAATTGATCTTTTAGCTTCATCAACAATCATTTGACTTCCTCCTCTAATTAAAATAGTGACAGCTTTAGTGCATTAACAATTTTCAATGACTAACATTCTTTCATTAGAAGTTCCAAATTGTACTTCTTTTACACAACCAGCTTTTCCTAATTTTTCAGGTGTAATTTCTTAAAATCTTGGAATGATTCTAGCTCCAGTAGCCATAGCAATAAGTTCTACATCAGTTCCTGAAACCCATCTAACAGCAGGTAATTCATTTTATAATAATAAATGATTAGCTTCATCATCAAAACCCCATTAACATAATGCAATATTTGCACCACTAGCTTTGACTAAATTGACCATATCTATAAAGTATTATTATTCTTATTAATATAATTTCTTATAATCTTCTGCACTAGAAATATTTATATTATGTTTGGTTTTAGGTTTAGGTGGTTCAAATGGACATGTTAATAAACATATTTTAGCATCATTTACTTCTTTAGGCATTTATGGATGACTCATATCTTTGTCAATAAGAATTCCTGATATCAATCTAGTATCTTCTACACTTCCACCAGTTTTAGTTTGAATTTTAATCAAATCTAAATTCACATCTCTTCTAGCTAAATCAGCAACATCTAAAACAGCAGTGACTGCAATCTTTCCAAGTTCTCTCTTTCTTTTAGATACAACTTTTGATCCAAGTGCTGTACATGCTGCTTAGATCAAAGCTTCATGTTCATTGGCTTGGATATCAATTTCTTCAGATATAGTTTCCAAATGTTCTAAACTATTAGAATAATGAATACATACTTATAGCAACATCACATGCTCTATCAAATCCATCACTAATTTTTAATGGATGTATTCCTTTATCTAACAAAGTAAGTGCTTACTCCAATAATTTTCCAGCCAATACTACTACTCCTGTTGTACCATCACCTATTTCAGCATCCTATGATTATGACAATTCCACTAATAATTTTGCTGTTGGATGCTATATTTCCTATAATTGATATTAATATGTTTCCATACCATCTTTTCAACTATTGTTGCACCATCATTAGTTACTGAAACATCACCATCTGGAGACACTAACATCTTATCCATTCCTTTTGGACCAAGAGAAGATGAAAGTGTATTTGCAACAGCTTTAGCAGCCAAAATATTGCTTTTATATGCTTCTAAACCCTTCATTCTCTTCTTTTGTCCTTGATCTCTTAAAATTATGTATGGTCTGCCATAGTCATCAAATGCTAAACTCATATTTTAAATAAATATTTTTAAAATTTAATCATCACCTCACAATTACTCATAATTAGAGTAACTTTGTATATATATCAAATATAAATATAAAATCTAATAGTTGCCCATTTTAATTTATTAATTATTAATATGCGTAATCGATTCCAAACTTGCTCTTTCAAGAACTCAATTAATTCACTCTTATTTAATAATCCACTAACTTTAAATAAGACCAGATCATGTGAATCTTAATAATGTGGATATGCTAATAAAAAAATGTTATATGTTTCTACTATCTTACCCACTTTTCAACCTTATTAACATATCATATCAAAACTCAAAGATCAAAATATCAAATTACAACAAAGAAAACAAATCAAAATGAGAAATAAAAGACATTTGATATAAAAAAAGACCATCAGTGAAATTATGTAAAAATAAGACTAACAACCAAAAAAAAGAACTAATAGACATCATAATACTGTATTTTACAATCATTAGGCAAGTCTGCCTAATCCCCCTAATATTTGTTCTAATGATACTAGTTAAAATCCCTCCAAAGAAAATTCAAGACATTCTATATAATTGCATAGGTACAATTCACTTTCACCTCGAAAACTTTATCTAGATAAAAGGACTACTAAACTATAAACCTTTTCATAAAGATTGAAAACATTTTATTTACCTATTACTGCTCCCTTTGATTGCTTAACAATTATGAAGTTAGAAATGATAGAAGATGGTAGAGCAAAGGTTATTAAACAATAAGGTTCTCATGATGACTTTGAAGTTAACTTAAGATTATATAAATTTGAAGATGAAGATAAGAATGCTGATGATGGTAAAGATTAACATAATAAACTTCCAACTTTACATTAAGAAGAAGATGAAGAAGATGATTTAAGCAATGATGATAATCTTGGTAATTTAAAATAGATAACAAGCAATAATTAAAAATAAGCTTATAAAAATATATTAAAATTCAATAGACGTAGTCTCTAAAGTCTTATTGATAAATAATAATTGGGAGAAAGTAGAATCAAAGAAATATTGACTACTGGTAATTAAATTTTAATTAATTTTTTATAGAATATAGTTAAAGAGCTATAACTGCTAATTTGTCTCCCATAAGTAATTATAATCTTGGGTTTTCACCATTGCCATCCATCAAACTCTTGGATGAAAAAAGAAAAAGACCAATTCATAAATTGCTCCCTTTAGACATCAAACCTGTTTGTCAATTTTCATTTACTAATCTGATGCCCATATCAAATATATCTCCGTCAACATAGTCCACAAAAAATAGCAATGCCAAAAAGACACTTTCTAGAAATATTATTAATGTGAAAGGAAAGAAACATAAAAAAAACATTACATTTGGATAATTGCTGATTAAAGTTTGAAAACAAATCTCATCCTAGAATAATGATTGACATATTGATATAAATTAAACTAATTTAACAATTATATGAATTGTAGAGTGATGAATTATTTATTGATAATAAAAAATGCGTTGATAACTTATAATAACATTATAAATTAATAATAAGAGATAAAGAATCTTTATATAAATATAGAAATTTTAATTGATAACCTTAAATAATATTAATGTAAAATAATACATATCCTACATCAGAGCTCAATATAGAAGGAAAAACATTCAAATATTACAATTTAGTTGAATTATTTGGTGAGAAAGTAACAAGATTGCCATACTCTATAAGAATATTGTTAGAGTAGGCAGTAAGGAATTGTGATGGATTCAATGTCAAAAAAGAAGATGTTGAAAGAATATTAAATTGGGAAGATACTTCTAAAAAAGACACAGAAGTAGCTTTCAAACCTGCAAGAGTAATATTATAAGATTTTACAGGTATTAATATTATTTTATATATCTATTAGGTGTTCCTTTAGTTGTCGATTTGGCAGCTATGAGATCATAAGCTCAAGCAATGGGTAAAGATCCATAATTAATTAATCCACTATGTCCAGTTGATCTAGTGATTGACCATTCTGTTCAAGTGGATTTTCATGGAAATTAAAATGCTCGAGAATAGAATGAATAAACAGAATTTGAAAGAAATTTAGAGAGATTTAGATTTTTGAAATGGGGAAGTTCAGCCTTCAAGAATTTTGAAATAGTACCACCAGGAAGTGGAATTGTACATTAGGTTAATTTAGAATACTTAGCAAGAGTAGTATTTGAGAAGGATAACCTATTATATCCAGACTCTGTAGTAGGAACAGATTCTCATACAACAATGATTAATGGTTTAGGAGTCTTAGGTTGGGGAGTAGGAGGAATAGAAGCAGAAGCAAATATGTTAGGTGAATGTACTAGCATGGTACTACCATAAGTAGTAGGATTTAAACTAACAGGATAATTGAGTGCTCATATCTCAGCAACAGATTTAGTCTTGACTTGCACAGAGATGTTAAGAAAGAAAAAAGGTATATTAAATACATAAATGATAAAGTTGTTGGAAAATTCGTTGAGTTTTACGGTCCAGGAGTATCAACATTATCTTTGGCTGACAGAGCAACTGTATCTAATATGGCACCTGAATATGGAGCAACTATGGGTTTCTTTCCAGTAGATAACAAAACAATTGATTATTTAAAATAAACTGGAAGAAGTGAAGAGAAATGCAACTTAATAACTTAATATTTGAAAGCAGCCTATTTATTTTATGAGGAAAGTTAAACTACTTTTAGTGACACTTTAGAATTAGATTTATCAACTATTCAACCTTGTGTTGCTGGTCCAAAGAGACCATAAGATAGAGTTACTTTAAATTAATTGAAATAAGAGTTTTCTTAAGGATTGACAGCTCCTGTTTCTTTTAAAGGATTCAATGTTAAAGCCACTTAAGATGTTGAATTTTAATATTAAGGATAGAAATATGGTTTGAATCATGGATCTGTTGTTATTGCAGCAATTACATCATGCACTAATACTTCAAATCCAGGAGTCATGTTAGCAGCTGGTTTAGTGGCTAAGAAAGCTGTTTAAGCTGGATTAGCAATAAGACCATACATAAAAACATCATTAAGTCCTGGATCTTAATGTGTTACATAATATTATAAGGCAGCTGGATTAGATGTGTTTTTGGATTAATTAGGTTTCCATAATACTGGTTATGGTTGTATGACATGTATTGGTAATAGTGGACCAATTGATTAAGCTGTAAGTGAAACTGTTTCAAATAATGATTTGGTTGTAGCTGCTGTATTATCAGGAAATAGAAATTTTGAAGGAAGAGTACATCCAATTACAAGAGCTAATTATTTGGCTTCTCCTCCTTTGGTTGTAGCATTTGCTTTAGCAGGTAGAGTAGATATTGATTTTGAAAATGAACCTATTGGAGTTGTAAATGGTTAAAATGTATTTTTAAAAGACATTTGGCCAACAAGAGATGAAATTAAATAATTAGAAGATTAAGTTGTTTAACCATAAATGTTTATTTAAACTTATTAATAAATAAAATAAGGAACTAAAAATTGGAATGAATTATAAGTACCAAAAGATTAACTTTATTAATGGGATGAAGTATCTACTTATATTCATCATCCTCCATACTTTTAAGGATTAAGTTTAGAATTACCAGTTATTAATCCAGTTACAAATGCTTATTGTTTAGCAGTTTTTGGAGATTCCATTACTACTGATCATATTAGTCCAGCTGGTAATATTTCAGCAAATAGTCCTGCTGGTAGATATCTTAAAGAAAGAGGAGTTGCTTAAAAAGACTTTAATACATATGGTGCAAGAAGAGGAAATGATGAAATTATGGTCAGAGGAACATTTGCAAATGTTAGAATCAAGAACAAAATGTTACAAGGAAAAGAATGTCCTAATACAATATATGTACCTACAAATGAAGTTATGGCTATATATGATGCAGCTGAAAAGTATTTACAATCAAATCAATAAACTATTGTAATTGGAGGTGCTGAATATGGATCTGGTTCATCTAGAGATTGGGCAGCTAAAGGACCTTATCTTTAAGGAGTCAAAGCTGTCATTGCAATATCATATGAAAGAATTCATAGAAGTAATCTTGCAGGAATGGGAGTTCTACCTCTTGAATTCACAAATGGATAAACTGCTGAATCTTTGGGTTTAACAGGACATGAACTATTCACTTTAAATGTTAATAAAGATAACATTAAAGTATTTTAATAATTCTAATTTAGGTTAATCAAATTGTAGAAGTTGTTGTCAAGAGATCAGATGATACTACTTTTAATTTTAACACACTCTTGAGATTGGACACTGATGTAGAAATTGAATATTATAAGCATGGAGGAATCCTATAATATGTGTTAAGAAAAATATTGAAATGAGTTTATGGTATCAAATATAAATTTATATATGATTATTTTATTTTATACATATATAACAATTGATGTTTCCAAATTCACCAAAATCACTTTTCCTGTGAATGATATAATAAATAACATATACTTCCTATAAAATTATGGGATCGATTTAGGTAAAGGCACATTCTCTAACAGGGTCAGACAACAAAACCATTTAATGAATAGATCGATGATTTTGTCCATTTCCATTTCCACATTTTTACTGATGATTATTGGCCTATGTAAAAAGGGAATCTAAATGTATTAAATAAAAGATAATTGGGTACTTATTAAGAAGGAGAAAAACTACCTTTAAATTGAGATTGGAGCTATATTAAAGAAAAGAAAATTAATTTATATTACAGAGATAAAATTTATATTGTAGTTATTTCAGATTGTGATGGGGGATTAACAAAGGTTGAAGGGTTTAAATTGAAATTGTAATTATTTCTTTAAATAATTGATCACATTTTTCATGTGAAGGTAATTGAATTTTAAAATTATATGGAATATAAATTATTGGCAGTATATTTATTGGTGCTTATTGCTTAATAAAAGGAAAGGATGATTTATTTATTAAGTATATCAGGAGAGTACTCTTAATAAATATTATCGCTGAATTCTTATTCTTCTTGCATTATACTGTCTATTCATAAAATGGAGTTAGAATCTATTTATTTGATTTATTAGGTAGTATTTGTAATAATACTTTACAATTATTATTTGAATTTTTATTTATAACATTATCATAAGGGTAGACTATTATAAAGTAAGAACTTAATATTGTTTAAATATTTCCATTCATATCTATGATTCTGATCTGTCAATCAATTATAATGATTATTATTAAGTATTTTGACGGAAGCTTAGATAAATATCATAATTTTTATGGAATTGGTGGATGGTTGTTAATGTTATCAAAAATTGGATTGACATTTCTTAATTCTATTGGAATTTATAATCTATCTAAGTAAGTTAAAAAAAAATAATCTATTGTATTAATTGCTATAGTTTGATTCTTATATCAAATACACTATCCTGTTGTTGTATTTATTTCAAAGGTATTTGTGGTTCCTTATTGGCAAAATCGAGTAATCACAATGACTACTAATCTTATTTCATATTTATGCATGGTTTTTGTGCTTTTATTTGTACTACAAAATCAACTATCTATTTTTAATTGTGATTTATTTATTTATATAATAATTGATTTTTAATTTCGATAAAATTATTAGTGGGAATTCACATCTTCATTCATTTCCTTTATATATTTATTATTTATAAAGTAATAATGTATGATATTGTAATTAAATCATTTACTAATTATATTTATATAAAAAACAAAGTAATTTTTATTTAAAAATATTCAATTTAACGATTACTATTTAAATAATATGAATGTTTAATTATTTTTAAAATAAATATTCAAATATTTTCAAACTTTCATTATTTTTATATTGACTTTTAAGAAATTTTAAAAAATTAAGTTTAAATTCAAATCAAAGTGCTTAATATTTAGAACAATTATATATTGTAAAAAATCTTGTTTAAATATAATTAATTTTTATGATGATATTTTTTAAGATGTATTTTATTTTTTTGAATAGTGCAATTTTCACAAATATATGTGTATATTTTATACTTATCATAATCAATTATCTTCAGCATTCTCTAATATACAAGTATATCCAGGTTTATATCTAGCATTTTTCATATAAAACAAAGAGATATTTTATTAATTCTAAGGACCAAATCGTTAATCTTATTATTATTCATCCTATTAAAAATTAGCATAATCTTAATCCTATTATTGTTCTATATTATCTAAAGATGGAAGAATAGGAAGAGCAACAATAAAGTAACGATGAGCTAAGGCCTAACTTGCATTTGGTCTTTTCAAAGGATTATATCGAAGCATTTAAGAGATTAAATCAAGGGCATCATCACTTGCTTAAGTAATTACCTATGATAAAGGTTTAGGTTAAATGTTTTTTGGAAATCTATGTTGTATTTTAGCAGCTAATTTATAACCTAATTTTTAAATAATAAACTATATACCATCTGGCCAATCCTATTCTGAAGGTGTTCCCATAATTTCACAAATCTTTTATAATTAATCAGTATCACAAGTACCAGGAAAGAGAGGCCATAATCGATATAATTCAGCCATTATACAACCAATTGCAAAGATGTCAATAGGTGAGTTGTATTCATTAGATCTCAAAATGACTTCTGGAGCTCTGTACCATCTTGTAGAAACATAATCTGTGAATGGAGGAGAAGACCTAATGTCTCTTGCTAATCCAAAATCTGCTATTTTTATTGTGCCATTAGATTCTAACAAATTTTCTGGTTTTAAATCTCTATGGAAGTAACCTATTTTATGCCTATTATTTTAATAGAGATTTACATGTATGCTAATCCCTATAAAGTCTAATATATGATATTTCGTATATGAATCTCATTAAATGGCTTTTATCTATCCTTCATTAGATGATAAACATTGCGTTCCATAAATTCAAATACAAAATGTAATTCATCATTTTATTTAATAATCTCATACAATTTTACAATGTTTGGATGATGTAATTTCAAAAGTGATTTGATTTCAGGAAGATTAATGCATTCATCCCATTTATTATATTTATGTTTCATTTTCTTAATAGCAACAATTTAACCAGTTGTTTCATCAACTGCTTTATAGACTGACCCAAAGGTTCCATCTCCTAATACCTTACCAATTTTATATTTATCCATAGTTTTTTGATAAATAATATATTAACGTAATAATTATTGAAAAAATCAAAGTTTCCATTTCATGAAAAGTTTGCTAAAATATGTAGCCTGCACCACCTTTGATGATCAATTAAACCAGAAAGAGTAGAGGCCAAAGATTAAGAAAATCTTAAGACAAAACAAAATCATTTAGAATCAATAGAAGATTACAAATAATCTTGATGATAAAATCAAAACAGAATAAAGTTTTGAAGAAAATTCCAATTAAGAAAATTATTAAAATAATGAAAATGAAGTTGAATCATCAAAAAATTAAGATTAAGATGGCAATAATATTAATTCTTAAGATTAAGAAAGTTTAAATGAATAAACTAATACTCAATTACTTTAATAAGGCACTTTTACATTTAATCAATAACCCTTATTACATATAAGTTTGACTTATAATGAACAAAATTTTATTGTTCCAATTTATAATTATTCAAGCGAATTGACAATAAAATAATCATTAATATAGTTAAATTTATCATAAGAGAACTTATTAAAAGTGTATTAGATTTGTATAAAACATTTATAATATTATTTGAAAACTCTAGAAACTATTTGGTTAAATAAGAATAATGAAAAAATTGATAATATTTATTTTCTCTAAAACTTAATGAATGAATAATCATTTGTTTAAACTAGAAATCAAAATTCATTTTGGGTAAAGAAAAAAGAATTGAGAAATGGGTATAATTAAAATATATTTAAGTTAGATTCAAATTGACATTGAAGATAAGGAAAAAGAATATAGATTAGTATTTTAGAAATTCAAAATATTATAATTTATCCAAAGCTAAAAGTTATTGAATATTGGAAAAAGATTCTCAATTGATTTAAATAAAAGTGATGATTTTTTAAAAATTATTGAAAGATTTTCTAATGACAATCAATTAACCTAAAAATCAAGAGATGAATTAAAATGGCTTATTCAAAATGAATTAATTGGTATGTTTGAATGAAATAATTATCTATTAACTTCCATACAAATATATATAAATAAAATCAAAATAGTGGAAAATTCTGATAACATTCATTGAGTAGTCCTAGTAACAAGAAGTGTATATCCTTATTTTGTAGATAGGTATTTTGTTGTAGAATCAGTTCCTTTATTGTTGAAAGTTAGAAAAGGAGATTTTCGTGAAGGTTTAACAAGAACTGATTATGCAACATGATCATTATTTTTAGTCCCTCTACTATTTGATCTGCTGCTTCTAAATGTAATACTATTTTTACCTTATAGTTTAAAGGTCTTAAGCAATCTTATAGTTATTAGTGACATTGATTTGCTAGATTTATATAGTAGTATGAAATGTGAATGCTTCATCATTAATATTAAGAGTTTGTTCCTAAAATATTAAAAACTCATTACTGAAGAATTCTAATGATTATTCAGCCTATTTTATGAAGGTGGAGCTAATTTCTATTTTGCATTTGAGCAGCAAAACATAATTAAAAATTTATATTTATTCAATATAAAATAATGAATTATTTTCATTGCCACAAATCAACTTATTATAAATCCTTTATATATATGATTCCATAATTTATCTATTAATTCATGATGACAATCTATACATTACATTATATTTACAAAACTTAACAATATAATATCTAATATTTAATTAAGGCTTTAATTATATTTTATAAATGATTCTTAACAAAAACTTAATTAATTATGATTCCATAATCCTTAATTGTATAAACTATTTTGCTATCAAGATTATATCAGAATATATAAGTGTAAAACTATATACAAATCCTCCTTTATTTTATTAAAATCTCTTTCTATTCAAATCACTTAAACAAACATATTTTTTATTAATATCTTATTATCTTTCTTGATAGAACACCAGGATCATCATCTCTTTTACTTTTTGCACTATTTTTTTTTCAATTTTAAAATGATCCTCTTTCATATTTGTATCATCATCTGAAGATTTTTCCTCTCAAAGAGAAATGTATTATTCTCTTTTTTTGTAAGCATTAGTTACTTCCAGATATTTAATTTCCTACAAGAAGATATTCAGTTTTAATTAATGAGATACATGCTGAAGAAGATTCAGAATCTTTAGTAAGTGATATTTCATATTTTGAATGATCTTTTATGTATTTATTTGTATATGTCATATTGATATCCTTTTTATTCTTTGATTTAGCACTTCTATATTTTTAATTTTTTAATTCTTTTACGCTATTTGGATCTTTTAATCCTGATTTTTATATTGCCTTACCCATGATTCCATTAATAAATCTTAGTCAAGATTAATTGCTACAACTTCAGCATCAAAATATTTTCAAAATTTCCATTATTTTTAAATCATTACGAAAGATTTACCAGGTCTCGTATTGATAGTCAATGATTAATTTAATTCTTTTTCTGCAATATTTATAATTGATTAGAGATTTCTTATAAATATCAAGTTTAAAACCTTTAGAAGTTTTTCTAGAATTCTATAATTCAATCAATATTTCATATTCATTAAACTTGGAAGTTTAAGTATGATTTGAATTTATTAATTAAATATTAATTTTCTACCTCTATATATAAATCTACCAAATCTTTTGTTATCACAATAAAAGTATAAACCTAAAAGAAGAATATTTTTCTATCTATGATTTAGAAGTTTAAATAATGCTGATATTTTCTTATACTGAATACTAAAAATTCAAAAATAATTTATATATATTATAAATGACCTCATTTGTAAATTTTTATAATTTTATTTTCATTATAACAAATCTTTCTAACATATAATTAGATGATCCTGCAGAAATACTATTTATTTTTATCATTTTAATTGCATTTAATATCTAATTCAAATGATTCTATTATATTACAAAAGAATTAATATAATTTATCATTATTCAAAATCATCATCAGCATTTGGATCAATTATTCTAGCATTTTCATTGTTTACAATATGACTAATCAATGATTAACCTTATTAAATCTTTTAGAAATATTAATTTCTAAACTCTGAAAAATGATAAAGTAAAATCTCTTCATATAGCATATCTAAAAATATTTGTTGAAATATCTACCTTTCAATTGCTCTTTAGTCAATTCATATTTTTCAAACTCGAATTCCAAAGGATTAACTGGAAGAGATGTTGGCTTAAGTAAAATAAGGATTACTCATTTACTTCATCTTCTTCACTATGTAAAATCTATAGATATGAATGTTTTAATGCTTAAGCTGCTGTTAAACGAACTCGATGATCAAATTTCAAAAGTCCTTTCAATAAATCCAGAACTAATAATAATTGTTAATATTTTTAATACGATCTTAATTAATATGACCAAATATTTAATTTAATCCAATACCATTTTAATGACCATATTCTTGGATTATTTTTCTTAAATTTTATTGAACTTTTAGATCTGGAAATGATTGAATATATTGTTCATTTGGAGTTCCTAATAATTCAAAAATAACCTTGATCTAATGTTTAGTAGAATCCCCTCTTAAAAATGGTCTTCTTAGTATCATCTCAGCTAATATACAACCAACTGACCAAATATCAACTAAAAAATAAGACATTTATATTTACCAGCTGAATTGTAATTTTGATATCCAATTAATAATTCAGGAGCTCTGTACCATCTAGTTTCAACATAATATGTCATCATAATATTATTTTAAATGTTTTCTGCTATTGCTCTACCTAAACCAAAATCACATATCTTAACATCACAACTTCTATTTAATAATAAATTTCTTGGTTTCTAAAATAAATATGAATAATTACTAAATCTCTATGTAAAATACCAGCTGAATGCAAATATTTTAATCCTCTCAACACTTAGTAAATAAATAATCGCATATGATCATCATTTAAGATTGAATCACTTTTTATAACTTACGATAAATCTGCTTCCAATAAATCCATCACCATATAAACATCTTCAAATTCTTCTCGACTTGGAGGCAATAACACTTATTTTAAATCTACTACCTAAATTTCTATTTGAACATCTATCATACATTATCATGTCTAATTAATCTTAGAATTTTCAATTCCCTTAGAGTTCTCTTTGCGAATAAACGATGATTGAATGTTCTTTCTATTTTCTTTATTGCTACAGGTTTATTTGTTAATTTATCTATTGCTTGTATTACACAACCATAGGCACCTTGGCCAACTGAATTTATTAAATAAATGATCACTTATATCAATGGGCATATATCTTTGATCTAAATAAAACGTATGTCCTTATAAAACATGTTTAACACTTTCAAACTATTTTTTATAAGGCTTGTATAAATCAATGATCTTTTAAGGTACATTTGATTCTATTATCATATTAATAATCTTAATATTTATATTTTATTAAATTCATTGCATTTATATTTTAGTATTCTTTAAAAAAAGCTAAATTATATAAAACATTTTTATTTTAAATTTAGATTTCTATGTTTTTAATATCAAACTTTAACTTCATTTAATTATTATTTTCATATTAACTAAATGAAGTATTGTATGAAAACTATACTATATTTTTAATTGAAAATAAAAAGAGTTTACTTTTATTTTCAAATTTAATATTAAAATTTTTATTTTTATTTTCTATTATGTTATTTTATTGATGAATGACTTTAAATTCAATACTATTTTTAAATTGTTTTTTTGAATAACCTTAATATAATAATAGAACATTTTTCAAATTATATATTTAAAGATTTGTTGATGTAGAATTGCCAATTATGAAGTAAAATCATTTTATTTCAGAATATTATTTAATAAACTCATCTATTTACTTCGGATATTTATTAGGTTTGAGTAATTCTCCATGAAAATTTTACTTTTATCAAAAATTAATTTAAAATGTTCTTATTAGTAGTCCGAAAAACAGAAAGACAAAGTATTAATTGAATTAAAAAAATAGAATTAGATTTCCGTTATCTTAAAATATTCTGCTTTTAATGCAATGAAGTATGGATTATTCAAGGAATCTATAGATTTTGATAAACTAAAATTATTCAAATATATAATTAAAAAACAAGGATTTCTCTGAATAGATTTCATTAAGAGTGTGATAATAAAAATAATTTAAATTAAAATCAAAGTAGTTTTTGAAATGATTTGTTTTATAATATATATTACAATATAATTTATAAGACTGTCTATACAATTAATAGCTCAGAATTAATGATAATTGAAATTTAGTTTATTTGCTTATGATTTTAAGATAATTTTAGCATTAATTACTTATTGTCTGCAATATAAATATTTTTTAATTCTAGAAGCACTGGAAATCATTTTTTAATATATTTAGGCATCTTTTAATTAGACATTTGAAATTAATGAATTTTAATTTAATTTGAAATAATTTTTATTGTTATTTATATAACCTTCATTAGAATAAAATTTTATAAAATATGAGAAATAGTTTTAGCACTGCCATTAATATCATATTAGAATGATTAAAATTAACAAATAATGAATGAACAGTAGCTAAATGATTGTTTATAATTTTGTCCACCTACACTGTCGAACTTCTTTTGGTCTACATTTACAAAGATAGAATGAGATAATAATGCACCTGAACCTTGTAGTAGTTTATAATTTATCTAAATTTGATATGTAAAAATAATTAAAATGATAAACCTCACTTTAAATGCAGTAATTTGAATGCCTAATAATATTCAGTTTTTAGATAATAATTTGAAAAGTCTGAACAAAAAAAGATAATATGAAAAATATGACTTTGAACATTGATCATGATAATAAATGTCAATTTCACAAGATTTTATATATGGGATGTAATTAACATACTTCAACTCTGATTCGATTTTTAATAAAAATCATACTCATTGACAAGCTTGCCTTTGATTAGAATTTTAATGGTGAGGTTTTGCTTTCTTGAATTCGAAATTGGCTTCACTTCAGCTTACTTAGGTGGTCTATGTCTCAAATTATACAGTATTGTTTTGGCTGTGGAATAATTTAAACTACAAATAACAGCAGCCTAATGTAAAATATATGTATAGTTAAGTACATCTTTTATCCTAAGTTTTTTATCGAGGACGAGAGAAATTAACTGATTCTTTCTATCAGGAGAAATATGACAGTATTTTCTTTTTGATTTTTGAATAGAAGGCTAAATGCCTTTCTGTTATTAACGGGTTTTAACTCTGTAAGTATGGAGTGAAGATAAAGAAGCATCATCGAAATTCATCACAATTCTTGAAATTAGAAGTGTTAAAAAAAGATTTTTTAAATAATTTTCTAAAGGAATAAATTAAGTTATCAACTCTGATACAGGAAATCTAGGTTTGTGTATAATGAAATAAATTATAATTCGTATTTTCCAGTTTATAAAATTTCGCTATTTTATTAATAGTTGTCTAGCAGACATAAAAACACTGAATCAATTAATCGAAATTGATATTATTAATATAAATTAAATCATAATTTTGGGTGCTGACTCTTCAACATCTCCACAACCTCAATAACCTCTTTACAAATACGCTAAATTGATTTCAAATCTGCATTCTGATGAATCGGTAAATACAGAATCTGATAGATATCAACTAAATCAATTTACATTTTTAAAATATGCTAAAGTACTGTTTGGATATTAATAGGAACTTCCAATAGGGCTTTCTACAATATCTAATTATGTCACTCCCATATAGGCATCAATTCCCCTTGAATTTAAAACCTTATAAGTGGTTTCAGGATCTGGAACAACTACTGGATAAAGCCTTATATAACATTAACTTTAAATATTTTACCAAAATTTTCTATCTTCAACTGCATGTCCTGGTACAAGTAAGCCACCCTTTTTTAAAATACTCTGACCAACCAGTTATCGAGAAATAGATATATTGAATTAATCAGTATCAAAAGTTTTCATTCTCAAAGCCAACATAACCATCATAGGATCAGGAACTCTAAACCGATAAGTTTATAGAATATCATCTGGATTTTTTTGAAATCCTCTAATACTATTGACTACAAATTCTTTGTAATCCCAATTTGGAAAGAAATTGATAAAAATCCATCTAGAACTCCTATTTATTGTTCTGCTATTTAATAAAATCATTGGGATTAAATTTTTTAAAGTTCTCTTGAAATAACTAAGTCATTTTATTTAAATATTACTTTCTTTATGACCATTTAGGATAGGTCTCTTGAATGGCTTTCATCTTTCTATAAAGAGCTTCATTATTTCTAATGACACTAATAGAGCCTCCAAAAGCAGAACAAGTTTTTATGGAACCAAAACTAAAAGTGGAAAAATCCACATTAGGATTTACTATATATTATATAGTTGATTTTACATTTAGCATTAGGTGCACTAAAACTTTCTGCTTCATCTTCCATTATAAATAATCCTTTTGATTTTGCCCAATCAATAATTTCAGATGCATCAAATTTAGCTCCAAATACATATGAAATCATTATTCCTTTGGTCTAATTATATGATTGAAAAATACTTTTTCTGTGTAAAATTGTTTAAATTGATCAAGAGTGCATCCTAAAGTATGAGGATCAACTTCAATAGGTACAGGTATTAGACCGTTTAATCTTAACACTTAAACCATATCTGGTATGTTTATTCCTGTAATTATAACTTCAGAACCTGGTGGCCAATTTAAAGCCTTTTATAATGAAAATTGTCTTTACTTGTAATACTAAATCTGTTGAAGCTCTAACACATAGAGTAACTAATATTTTTTAATTTTTCAATCCTCCAAGCCAAATTTCTTCTATCTAGGAAATTTAGATTATCTCTTTACTTATTGAATATACTTATCTTAATCAATTGGTTTTAAGTATGACCACAATGTGTTGAAGAGATGTCTGTACTACATATCAATATATAGTGCAGAATATGGTACTATCTAATCCGCCTTAATCATATTATGTAATTAAATAATATATTGCTATCAATTCACTATTTAACCATTTGATATGATGTTGTTTTGATCTCAATTATTTAATTCAATAGATATTGTATATATAATTTTAGATTATCAAGTAACAATACAAAGAATGTTTAAAGATGAGTTGAAATATCAAAATAATGCATAAATACATTAATTGAGAATTTCAAATTTATGCATTTATATATAGTATAATAAAAGAGGAGTGGAAATTTAGATATTCGATTAAATATTGTTTTTAATATATCAAAGACACGTCAATTGTACTGAATATAAGTAAATGAATTACCTTGTGAAATCCTATCAATTCATAATTCTCTCTGAAACATCTTCTGCACACATTCATACCATATTTTCTAATCAAACCTTATCTGGCAGCACATACTCTACATTCTATGAAATCTCAATGAGAATTACCTCTTGAATCCTTTCCATATGTTCTTGGGTGAGTTCTGAATAAATGGTTTGGCATGCTTTGTTTTATTTTATTTAAATATTTATTAAAATCATATTAAAAAAAATTACAATATAATCAGTATTATAATAGAATAGATGATAACCATAAACATAGAAACTCCTAATCATACTCGATATAATGGGCTACTTCACAAAATAGATACTACTGAAAATACAATTTTGTTACATTCTGTTGTCAACTATGGAAAAGTTCAAAGACCCATTAAATAAATCATATCAGATACAGAAAAACATAATTATTTTGTACAATTTCCTTTAGAATATATCAAAAAAGACACAATAATTACTACAAATGATGGAAAATCATATAAAGCAAAACTTAAAAAAATAGATCTTTAAACTAAATTTCCTATTTTGTAAAATATTACATTAATGTGTAAATAATGTGAAGAAAAAGAAAGAATACCATTTGACTTCAAATCTCATAGAGTGATATCATTCAATAAAAGATAGTAGATTAAAATGAAATAATCACTTCACAATTAAAATAAATCTGTTGATCTTAAATCATCCTACCCTCCTTGTTTCACCAACAATTATAGGTAAATGGCAAAATTTAAAGAATTAACTGAATAAATAGGTTATAGACCTAAATTAAAGTGTAAAAATTGAGTCTGTGTTTAATAAATCTATATATAAAACTATTCTCTAATGATTTTCTTTATTCCTTTTACAATATATTCCAACTTCTTTGTGAATCAAATAGTGTTATAAATGATATCATTATTTATTTCAAAAAGAGACCAACTATCAAGTTTAAAAATGGCAATAATACAAAGTACAAATACTGTTTGTAATTTTTATATACTATTTTTCATTCCTGGGTAAAACTTATTATTTATATTAATATGTTCTTAAATTTTAAATACTTTTGATTTGTCTATCAAATTAATCAAAAGCACAATAATAATTATATATCACTATAAATATTCTTTTCTTTCATTCATTATCATGTGTAAATGAATGATTTGAATATATTTAATTAAGTTTAGTTCATATAAAACTGATTTGACTCAAAATTGATAATTGAAATAGTATTTTATTCTTACCCATATTTCATCTAGGGATGAATCTAAAAAATAAAAATTTTATTAATAACGTAAATTTAACTCAATTAGATAAATATCATCTCATTTCCTGAAGAGTTATTCTGAATTAATGTATCTAATAGCATTATAATATATTACATATTTAAGATTATATACTTAAATTTACAATGCAAAAGCTTGGGTTAATTTTATTGTCCATCTATTTTGTAAATTCAATATTCTAAATGTTAATTCTTTTTTTACATTACTATAAATGAGCTAATTATTTTTTATAAAATTTATCAAACGATACTAAAACCTTATATGATCTTAAGACAATCTATTTTCATCAAAACCTTATTTTACCAATTTTCAGCATAATCAAAAGGACATAATGTAATATATAATGGTTTCTATATTTTAGAACATCTGAATTATGAAAATTAGCTCTAGTTTTTTTCTTTATTTTGTTTTGTATAAAATTATAATTAAAGTATTATAATTATAGTATAAAAAATATAATATTTAATCCAAATCTATTTGTAATATATTATTGAATTAAGAATAACAAAAACTTTTTTATCAGATTTAATGTCGCTTACAAAAGTACCAATAAATGAGAATGTATATAAATAAGCAGGGTCTCAACCTCTTCAAAAAGATGCTCAATAATTAATAAAAAGAGAATACAAAATGATATCAAAGGAAAAGAAGAAATAGTTGATACAAACTGTCCTTTAATAGAAATGCAAAATCAAAAGAGTACTCTATATTATAATATTTTCTTTAGATTGCCAAGGATCTTAAGATTAATTATGCTACTGCTAAAACCATCCTGCATAATTATAGAAAAAAAAATATTTAATTTGAACAAAATGATAACCTTAAACAAGCTGCCTACTCCAATAAAATAAAATTCTCTAAATTGAATCTCAAAATTATACTTAATGATAAAGTTGTAAAGGAATAAGAATACGTAATCACCACATTTTGAAAATAATATATATTAATGAGTATTTAAATCAAATACAACTATGAATTTTCTTTTTCTCTACATTTAAACTTGCTGGAGATCAGCAAAAGTAGTATTTGTTTATTTTATTAAATAAAAAAAGAGAGTTCAGTAAATATTTAATTAAAATATATTATTTTATAACCATAATAATACAATATATAATTGTATTTTTAATGCATATTTGTACATTCAATTATTTCAAAGGTTTTAAGCTCTATTTGATTAAATTTGAAGAAGCTAATGTTATATGAATTAATTATATATATGAGTATGATGAAAAAAAGTATATATTACTAATGAAAAATTTATAGAAATTATAATAATTATTATAAACAAAATTGAAAATTTTTATCTGGAATGTATTAGATTTAATTTATTTAAGGAATATTAATAATAAATTTGAATGAGAGTTATATATGTTTTAAAAGGCTAAAAATAAAATTATATAATTTTTCTTAGTAAATTTAAACAAATATTTATAATACTCATAAATAAATTAAGTGAATAGCTATAATTTTTAATAATTCAGGATTATGTGAGTTCTTTTAAAAAATCAGATTCACAACTATCATGCATATCTGAATCAGATTTTGATATTTCTGTTTATTTTTAAGTTAGAAAATATTTTTAATCAAAACTTATTATTAATGGTGTTTATTGTTTGATACAGAATTCTTAACTTGATCTGTTTGAAGAATAGAATTTATCACTACTAGTTGAAGCAGTTAATTCTGAATGTTATGTTTCAATTTACTTTTAATAATCTTTTATAGTAATGCATTGATTAAGTA